CATCTTCATTTTTCAAACAGGTGTGCGCTACAAGATCAACACTTCCCTATATCTCGGCTTGCGCATCTCTTCCCCCCGTAGAATGAATACCAGATTGTCAAGAGAACAAATTCGATCCAGGAAAGGATTAACCACCGGCTCCCAGAAAGCCATGCCTTCAAAGCACATTAGGCCAGTATCCATAAAAAACATCCTGCAATAGAACTTCCATTGCCCGATCTTTGATGATTAAGACAGGTACCACTTCATCCTTCAAAAGCTCAAGGGAAAAAAAACCAGACTAGCTTCATCCCATCAGCTCCAGAAAAAGCAGTACAGGAAGTTTGCTTTGCCCATTCTTGCCCAAGAATGATTCACCTCCAACCATCTCTGAAGCTGGGAGACTGGGAAGCTGAAGGGGGTGTAAATTTGACCTATTGGGGCTGTGTGTGTGAGGGGTGTTTAGAAGGATCTAGGGTTACAACCCATTGGTTAGACACTGCCTTGAGAATCATGTGGATTGAGAATTCTTTCAGACAGACAGCTCTGATCTCCAGGGTCTTCTCCTGCCAGTATCCCTGATTTTGAGTCAGGAAATTATTTTGACTAGTGGTTGTGTGATTCTAGGTACAGTGTTATTTGTGCTGGCATTGGGGAATTGCTGTTTTTAGGAATTACACTAGTTTGTAAACAGATTCAGGAGGCTACCTTTAGAAATAGGGATATACATTTTGCAAAGACACAAAGGAGATACTAGTGAGAGGAAAGAGGAGGGGAAAAAACACTATCTGAAGCAATCTGATTCTATTTCTCCCTATCCCAACCATTTATAGATTTCTTGCATCTCAATCCAGACACCACACAGAAATCTTTGGCTTCCATATGGAGCCGTAAGAAGCAGACTGGCAGTGGCTGTATTTTCAACCATTTCTGGGTGACAGTGAGTCATTCTTCCCATTTCTAAGTCACCCCACAATGCTTTATTCCCCCAGAATTTTTTAAAAAGTGGGCTGGACTGCGCTGTCTTGGAAGGGGAGAAGAAACCCTCTTGTGGCTGCTTAGCAACCTCAGAAAATGGACAGGATCCAATCCTGCCAGCTTGCTAGCAGAGTGTACCAGCTGCACAGTGGAAAGCAAGCCGTTCCTGAAGCAGGCAGAAATTAGCGGAAAGGCTTCTCCGGGAACTGGGAAGCTTGCAGGAAAGAGCAAGAACCTGCCGCATGGATCTGTAGTGGATGCAAAGGGACAGGAACGGGACTAGACACCACCCAAGGCTTCCAGACACGTCTGTGTGTCCTACACGTTTAGGCAAAATTTCTTGCAGTTGCCAAATGTTTGCAGCAAAGGTTTTCTGGAGACGTGGCACTGCAGATGGAGATGGCCGTTCTGGATGGGGTTGCACTCCCCCTAAAGGACAGGGTGTGCTGCTTGGGAGGGCTCCTCTCCCCAGCGCTGTCCCTGGAGTCTCAGGTGGCAGCGGGGGCGAGGAGCGCTTTCCTTCATCTTCGGCTGGTCCATCAGCTGCATCCTTACCTGGATGAGCACTGCCTGGCAATGGTGACCCACACTATGGTAATTTCCTGCTTGGGTGATTGTAACATGCTCCATGTGGAGCTGCCCTTGAAGACAATCCGGATACTTCAATTGGTTCAGAATATTGCTGCCAGGTTGTTAATGGGGACCGGCAGGTACTTACATATCACGCCGGTCCTCTGTTGCTTACACTGGCTGCCAATTGAAGTCTGGGCCTAATTTAAGGAGGTGATGACCTATAAAGCCCTAAACGGCTTGGGTCCGGGATACCTGAAGGACGCCTCCTTCCCTATGTGCCCTCCCTCCCCTTGAGATCTGAGGCAGAGGCCCTGCTCCGGGAGCCCTCCTTGAAGGAGATCAGGAGGGTGGCTACTCAGAGAAGGACCTTCTCTGTGGTGGCACTCTGACTATGGAACACTCCCCAGAGAGGTTCTCCTGGCATCAGTGTTATATTCTTTTCGGTGTCAGGCAAAACCCCCTTTTCCCCCCATCATTTTAATGTTTAATGAATTTTAACTGGGGTTTTAGTATTTCAATTGTTGGAAGCTGGGGTGTTTTGTTTTATTCTACCCATTTTTTATGATAAGCCATCCCGAGACACTAGTGGTGGAAGAGTTACGAAAGCTTTTAATTAGCTAATAAAAATAAAATGCAAAGTTATAGCAGTCTCCAATAAATGGCCCTACACACACACTGCATGTCTGTGCACCCAGAGAGCTGGCAAGATAGGGCAGCCCATAATATTCCCTATGGACCTGTTGCACACGTGGGGGAGAGGGAGGTGAGAGAATCCCGAGATGCTGGGCTGGACCACTCCAGTTCAGACTCCAGTGGGGGAAGCCCCATCTGGTGACCTACTAAAGCGAAAACCTTGCAAGCACGTCAAGGGTCTGGATTCCAACCCAGCAGCTTCCATTGCATCATTTTCTACTGCGTATTTTTAATTGGAGCAAAACGTTCACAACTCAGATCTGTACCCCGCTGCAGCAGAGTTCATTCCACCATCTCATTTAATTTTCTCATTCAATCCCCTCTTCATTTATGATCAGGCATTTAAAGTTCTGGAATCTATTACTAGATCTTTATGGATACATCTATGCATTTATAGCTCAGGCGGCTGTCTGCCTCTCTTGAAAGTCACCAGCATGCCTCTATCTGTATTATCCTCCTTTAGGTACAAGGCACTGTAAAATCTAAGCTTTTCCAGGGATGAAACAAGCCAAAAAGCTCAACCAACAGTCTTGCTCTCATCTGGCACTTGCAAAGAAAAAGACACCCAGCTCTCTCTCCAGGGTTCTGTGTATGAACGTCACAAACGTTACATGAATGTGTTCCTCGCATATCGCTGGTTCTGTTCTCAAGATCGGCTTTTGCAAAGACCACTTTGCAGACCTGTTGAGATTCTGAGGGGACAGAATGGAGCCACCACCTCTAGGGGTCCGTGGAACAAGCAGCCACCTCCACTCAGCAGACACAGGGTGCCAACCAACCCCCCACCCCTTTTGTCCTCATGCCCTGCTTGGGAGCCTGCCCAGAGCACCTGCTTGACCACTAACGGGGGCAGGAGGCCGGATGTGAGAAGCCCTCGGTCTGATCCAGCACCACCATTTTTCGTGGGGCTTCAGGGGATGAGCAATTCCAAGTACTCCTCTCTTTTACAGGGTTCTTCTTCAATGCATGCTTTTAGCTTTGAAAAAAAATATTAGCTTTTAAAAAATCTTGTTCCAAGATTTTATGGTATTTTATTGTATCATTTTTATGCACTGTTATAAATCACCGAGAGAGATATTTGGCAGCAAAAAAATGAAATTATTATTATTATTATTAAATTCCAGGAATGGATTAGAGGAAATTTGACCTTAGATTGGCTCCACCTTTGTAATAATTGCAGTTTCTACATTTTGTGCCTTCTTTGGTTCTGGAAGGCAGGCTTTCCCAGACTGAAGCAGTCCAGATGGTTGGGATCTGACAGCTCCTATCAGTCCAGATGGATGACAGCTCCTATCACCCCCAGCCAAGCTGTGGGAACACAGAAACGGTTGACACTTTCTGTTGGATGGCTGTAGCTTGCCAGGGTTTCAGGCAGAACTCTTCTCTGGCCCAAAACATCTGGGGATACTTTGGTTAGAGGAGGCTGCTAAATGGGTCTTTAGGTGTGACATTTCCTTGCCTGGATGCAACATTGTGGGTCAGGGGAGCAGCTCCTATGGGCCCCCCAAGGCGGTGGCAGGGATGCAAAGCTCTGGCCAGCATCATGCTCACTTGCCCTCGCCAGACTTCTTCCCACGCTCGGACCTGGCCAGGAAGCGAGCCAGCCTGCGACCAAGTCCTCAGTCCTCAGGAACGGTGGGAGATTCGTTGTGCAAAGTGTGTGAGGTACACAATTCTGTGTACAGGATGCACAAAGCCCACAAGTCATGTGTAGAAAAGCAGATCTCCGGTTGCATTCGCTTCCTGCCGGACACCCACACCGACACCCGGCACAAGAGCCTGGAGGAAAACCAATGGATTCCCACCCCCAAGCTGGATTCCTTCTACATCCCTAGCTGTGACAAGTCCAATCATCCCTGACCATCAATCAGAAAGGTGGAGATTGATGGGAGTTGGCGTACAACAATATCTGAAGGGCCACAAGCTCTTGAACCTGCTTGCAGAGTGGTGATGCTAATCCTGCAAAAAGGACCTTGCCTCTTAAGAAGATTAGGCCTAGCCAGGGTAACACACGTCTTACCCCCTTCCTGTCTGTTCATTCACAGAGGCGCTTTTCTATGTCCCACCAAAACTAAAAGCATAGCAAGTTGGGACAAGAAGCAGGGCCTTTTTGGTGGTGGCACCAACACTGAGGAACCTTTCACTGGCTGGTGAAGATGTTGTGTTTATCTGAAAGGGGTGCTTTGATCTCCCATGAGGATGACTTAGTCATATGGACGATTGTGCACCAACAAAGGGATTTTAATTCTCACAAGTCGTATGCATTAGCAGGAAGTTCTGTGCTGTAAGTAAGCCTGTAAGATCTGGATCGGAGGTCCTTCTTCGAGAGCCCTCTTTAGAGAAGATCTGGAGAGTGGCTGCCCGGAGAAGGGCCTTCTCTGTGGTGGCGCCCCGGCTATGGATTGGGCCCCCTGGAGAGGTGTACCTGCTGCCGACGCTTTTTTCATTTCAGCACCAGGCCAAAAGCTTTTTATTTTCCATTATTTTAAATGTTAGTAGTGTTTTAAAATTGAATTTATGTATTATCTGGATGTTGTACCTTTTTTATTTTATTACCACTCTGAAAGGGGGTATATAAAAGCTTTAAATGAATAAATACTTACAAAACCAACCAATCATCGGCTGAGTATGGTGGGAACAGACAAGGAGGGCCTGTTTTCTATTCCTTGCAAAATAATTCCAGGTCCCTGCAGCACCTCTGAGCATTTCTGAGCATGTCCACCATCCCAAAAGGCACATGCAACACATGTCCGTCATGCATCCAGCACGCAACTTACCTTCATGCTCGGTGGAGCAGTGAACGGAGGAGACAAAGGTCTCTCTGGGGCTGCCGCATCTGTGCTGTTCAGCACCTCCTGTTTCCTATAAGAAAAGGGAATCTATTTTATTTTTTTCTCCTCACTGGTCTTTTCAAGGACACCTCCAAAGAGACAGAAACTTTGAGAAAGTCAAGCCAGGGAAACGTCTCCAACCAAAGGGATAGGGGGAGACAGGCAGAAAGGACCCAAATCACCAAAACTGTGTCTCGATTCTTTGCTTTATCCAATTATTATAATGCCTCAAAGTGGCTTCTGACTGCAGCATCTGAAGAAAGGCGTCTCCGAGATTGTCCGTACCTGCTACCTGCGTTGCAGGTAAAATCCATTTCAGGCAATTTTGACCCCTGGGGTAAGCTGAGAGTTCGTTATATAGGGTTGGGTTTCTATGACAACAGGATTGCAAAAAAGCTTTCCCTCCCCAGCCACCCCCCCCCCGTCAGTTGTCCCCGGCTTCTCCAGCTGGTCTTATCTATTGAGTCAGCAATGTTTGCTCACTTTCTCTCTCAACAGAAAGGGTCTAATACATGGCAGAATAGATGCTGGTTGTGGCTATACTAGATTTCCACCAGGGAATCAGCAAAGAGTCGCTCACGGTGTATCATGGCCTGGCAGACTAAACTTCCAAAACAACAGCCAAGGCGCACTTACAAAGTATGTTTTTCCCCGGGGCTGTTTCATGCCCCATGAAGTGGCCAGGACAAAAAAAAAAAGGCATCATGTTCTAAAACATGTATTTTTAAAAAACAAAATTGTCATTCATTCTTCACCGTTGCTGCTTCTCCAGGTGGGGTTAAGTTGCAAAAGCAACTCAGCTGAGTTTCATTCCCTTTGGAGGATGGAGCAACGGCACCTCAAAGGCTCTTGGGAATCCCTCCTTCTGACACGGGTGGTGAGCCAGAACAAGGTCACAGAAAAATGAGAGAAGAGCATCAGCAAGACCAGAAAAAACCCTGAAATTCACAGCACTGGTTTTAGAGAATAGTCCTAACGAGACAAAACAATGAAGGTGGGCCAGGGAGGTTCTGGGGTGCCCACTAGGATTGGGATGCCTTGTCCTATATATTCCTACTTCACCCCTATCATCATATGTTGACGTCCTTCTCAGGGACCCCTCTCCTGCTCCGAGAAGTAAAGGAGGTGGAAACCAAGAGCAGGGCCTTTCCAGTCATGGCCTCCCCTCTGGAACATGCTCCCCAAGAGGTGCACCTGGAACCATCCCTGACATCTTTTCAGCACCAGGGAAAACCTTTTTATTCTCTAAATAATAAATGTAATAGTTATGCTGTATGTCTTATGGCTGACTGCCAGTTTTAGTATGGTTTATAAATCCCTGCTGTGCCTGGTTGTTGTCTTTTGGTTATCACACATTGCTTTATAGTTTTAAAAAATGAATATACTGCCTCTATTGTTTTCATGAGTCTTTTATGAATTGTATTTGTAATTTAAATATTTGCAAACCACCCAGAGAGCCCATGGGTGCGCTCTACTTTCTCTACCGGGTGCAGTAGAGAAATATAACGAATATAACAAATAAATAAAATATGGTGTAATGGTTGGAAAAGACAAGAAAAGGCCAAATGGAGAATAGGGAGGGAATGAAATGCCCTTGTAGATTCACTGCTGGTGGAAATCAAGATGAGGAATGGACCTGTTAGGAGCCAAAGATGCCGTGCCGGTCACACCTGCATGATCGCTTTCAGCCTGCCTGCCTGCCGTTCACCAGCACAGCTCTCAGTGGGACCTGTTTCTGAGTAGACATATCTAGGATTACACCGCCATGGAGACCAAGAGGCACACTTCCGAGGTGGCAAGCCTTGCAGACAGTAAGTAGGCAGCCCTCGGAAAATCGCTCTACCAATTGCACCCATCTCTTTCACACACAGAGAAAACTCGGCCCTTGGCTGGTTGGAGATCACCTTTCCCAAGACGTGGGTCTCTCACTCAGAAATGGGAAGGCTTCCGACTGTCAGGAAACTGTCAACTGAAGGTAAGCTCACAACCAGCCAAAGTCAGCTCCTGGGCTATTAATCTGATTAATGGGTTCTTATTAAAGACATACCAGGCTGTACGATTTCAACCGAGTCACTCTTGCTTTGGTTAGCTATTATGATTCTCATTCCTAGTGAAATGGGAAAGCTGGACCGTGAAGAAGGTAGATACACTTGGAACATGCTGCTGGAGGAGAATGTTGTGGCTAACTGGACTGATGAAGAGACACGGAAGTGGGTCTTAGATCAGCTCAAGTCAGAACTTGCCCTGAAAGCAAAAACGATGGTGCTAGGAATATCAGAAGCAAAGACTTGCAAGAGGAAACCCCAAAGCTAGGCTGAGGAAGGAGTTGATGACCAATGGGTGGACTCCATGATGAAAGCCACCATCTTTGGTTTACAAGAGCTGAGCAGGGCTGTTGCGGACAGAACGTTATGGAGGGTGATCTCTCATAGGGTTGCCAGAAATTGGAGATGACTTGGCAACAAGCAACATGGCCGAAGACTCTAGCACCAGTGTGATTTTTAAAACAGTCCCAACGAAATACAAATAGAGACAGGGATGAAAACAGTCAATGCAGCAAGCTGAAAATTATAAAGGCCTGGGTAGGCCATAGGTCAGGCAGAATGAAAGCTTTTGCAGCTGGTGTTGGAAGAGAGAGATGTGCCCAAAATCCTGCCTACGCACAGAAAAGTCTCCCGAGCTGAACTGCGGGGAGGAGGAGACCTAAAGGAGCCATACCCTGATCCTTAAATATCCACTCGTGTGATCAGCAGGGCTGGCTTCCATGGTCGAATCCATCACTGAATCATAAGACCACCCTTCAAAATCAGGAAGAGCCATTGCATTCCAGGCCCAGTCTCTACAAATGGTCTGGGGAATCTGCGTATAGCATTGGACTCCAACTCCCAACAGCCCCAGCATGATCAGTGGTGAGGCTGATGGGGGCTGTAGTCCAGCCCCCTCCAGGTGGCCACATTTTCCCCGTTTCCGGACTAGTAGATTAGCCTCTGTTCCTATGACTAAACTAGCACATTTATAGACGTTTCAGAAAAGGAAGAGAACAAGAGAATCTATTTCAGAGGAAGCAGGTCTTCTCTGTGATGCCATAGAACTGCAAAAGTACAAGATAATGTTCTATTGCATCCCATGTGCAAATCATTACGAATGTACAAGCCTGTTCTGATCTTTCAGCTTTCTTGTTAAGGAAAGAGACGGCTCGGTTTTTGCGAGCCTTTTCTTTTAAGAGGGAGCTCTTGAAATGTTCCCCCGCAACCCAGGGCTGAAGGATGAGCCGAGCCGAGCCGAGCAGCACAGCGCTGGCAGGAAGGGGGGCTCCAGACCTCCTCTCAACACTTGGCCTGCTGGCCCCTGAGACGCCCCCACGGGCAAAACAGTTGCAGTGGCTCCTCCTGCCCTCGGATCTTCTTTGCTCCGAGTCCTGCATAAATTCAGGCAATTGGCAAATGATTCACTAATGAGGCACCGGCAACTAAAACCGCCACATAAGTTACCCTCTGGAGCTGTGATGAGGAGGATAATTGGTGGATGAGATGGGCAGAATACCATCCACCCACCTCGGAGGCCGGAATAATTGTGGCAGCTAACAGATCTGTGACCAGCATGAAGATAAGACTGTTTCACGATGGAACAATGCAGATTCTCGACTGTTTTAAGCAATTGGTTCAAACTCGTGTTTTCTCATTGCCTTAATTTTTTCAAAAGGGAGGGGGATTAAATGCTATTCTAAAGAACCTCTAAAGTTCCTAAGTTCCATGTTAAATTGGCTCTTTATTGAGGACCATGAGGACTAGAATCTTGGCAGGGGGGAGCCCTGTTTGAAGCTCTGGAGGTCCACCACCATTCACAGTTCACAAAACTGAGCTGGGTGGTCAAGCCCCTGCTTTGCTCATAGACAGTCCGGGGGATTAATCTCCAGCATCTCCAAGTAGTCCATGGCACTGTACTGGGCTAGCTGGACCAGTGGCCTGATTCATTCCAAGGACTTCTCCATGCTCCAAGGACTCGGTCAGCTTCCCGTGTCCCCACGGCTCGCGATTGTTCTTAGAAGGATTGTTCTTAGAAGGCCAGAACTGTTCATTGCACTGCTTTAGCACCAGATATCGAGAAAAATATCTCAAAAGCATTTCTCCGTTTCCTCTTAGTCCTGCCATGCTTGTCCCAAGGCAGCCCAGCCCGAACGTCCAGCTTCAAGAGCATGACGTGCATCTCTAGGACAACCTACTGCGTGGTGACAAAACACGCTCTCGTGTCACGGTGACGGATGACCCCAAGGAGGGATTCAGGAGTGCAGGGTGACAGGTGCTCTGGGAACACAGATGTTTGCTTTGGGTGATTAAGCTTTCTTAGAATAGAGATTTTATTTTGAGATTTTATTAGTGCTTTGGCAGGAGGAAGGATCGCGGGTATCCTTCAAAATGGTTATACGTGTGTGCGCCATCTATTGCATGCAAATGGCTTTTATACGATGCCTAATGTCAAGTTAAGGCTCTAATTCTTGGCAAACAACCCAAAGAGATTGGGCGGTATGGATGCGTAACAAGAAAAATGAAGGGGAAAATGTGTTTGCTGAAAAATGGGAAGCTGCATGGGGGCAGGTCAATTCGCTCCCTCCGTCTGTGGCATGGCTGCTTTGAGAAACCTGAGCTTGCTGCAGAAGCGCTCAGACCGCTAGATGAATGTGTGTTAAGTCACTCTGGGGGGTTGAACCTCAGGGTGTGAGCCAAATCTGGCCCAGCTGGCCCAAGATTGTGGTCTTGTCTTCCAGGTTCCTCCACGACGGCCAGGCCCCCAGGTTCCAGGTTCCTCCACGACGGCCAGGCCCCCAGGTTCCAGGTTCCTCCATGACGGCCAGGCCCCCAGGTTCCAGGTTCCTCCATGACGGCCAGGCCCCCAGGTTCCAGGTTCCTCCACGACGGCCAGGTTCCCTTGCCTTCCACCTCTCCCACAACCGCAGGCTGTTTGATGCTTTCCAAGTCTGCATGACACCAGCCTCGTCCTGCCCAAGGATCACTGCTTCACCCCACTGAACAC